CTGCCAAGAAAGAGGTCCACACTAGCCGTCCCCAGGTCGCTGGAAGGCACTCCAACACGGTCAACCGCGAGGCACCCCCCACCCGATCTTCCCGCATCCGGTCGTCAGAACCGCAATGGAACCGCACACAGGGCCAGCTAAAAAGCTGCCTTTAGTGCCAGACCGCAGGAAGATCAGATGGCAAACGATGAGCATCCCTGGACACCACCTTCCGGCTATCGACCAACCGAACAACCAACCACCGCGTTTTGTTTTGTTGTGGGGTGTGTGTGCCGTGTGCAATGGTGCTGAGTAGGTCAGCTTCAGTCCGCTTCCAAGTGCTGGACCAGAAATTCCTTGATTCTGCTCCCTTCACGCCAGACTTAAACCCGGCACATCTCGAAGTCTGAAGCATGAAAAACCTGAATAAGTGACTTCTGCATGGATCCAGCGTAGTGGAACAAGCTCGCCACACCTTCCTCCGACCTTCCTCCAGCGAGTTCCCTGTGTTCGCATTGGGCAGAGGGTCGAGGGATTCTGCTTTGACTGCTTGCGTGTTGTCTCTTCACTGCGGCTTAATAAGGAAGTAGAAGCCTTCGGGTTCAAGAACCCGCCCAACGGCCCAACACGGCAACCTACCAAACACGTTTGACTCTTTTCCCTAATGCGCCTTCGACTGCCCCATGGTCTGACCGCATGCAGCTCTGGTCGCACAAGATGCAAATTGGAACCACTCAACGAAATGGCTCGATTCAGCTCTGCTTCCCATCTGCTGCCATGGCATCCTGGTGAAGTGACTGATGAAGTCTGCAGGGTGCACTTGGCATTTCAACATGCTCACCACCCAAACCAGCAATGAGCCCACCGTAAGGACTAAGAATAAACGTCTCACATCATGCTGCCTGTTGCCCAGTCCTCCATTGCCATTGTGATTTGAATGATGCAGCCAAGTACCAGTAAGACACCAGCTGCATCCAGAAACCAGTTGGTAGATCTTGAGACCACAACTGCAAAGCTCTGCAAGAAAGTCTGCCCACCCAGTACGCCAATGAAGGTGGTCACCTTGGCACGAAAGCACGCTCAACTTCTGTGTGCAGTTACATGAGGGCAGAAGCAAGCAAGGTTGGCTGCCCTGAGATTGGCACCGATATGGCGGCACTGGTAAGCGTGCCTGCAGCACCTTGATTATTCTCTGCAAACAAGATGTAATTGATGACCAGCTCTAACAGGATGCCGGAGGCAGGAGGATTGATTCTGCTTTGATGCTATCGTTATGTAGTGCAGTACAGGGCTGGAGTTACAAACCCACTGACTATTCTATTTTCCCATAGGCACAATGAGAAACAGATAGGCGCCCAAGAGTTTCAGAAATATGCAAAATGGGATTTCGATGCGAAACCCTATGCAGAAATCCCAAAGACAGCGAGAAAGGTTCGTTTTCGAGACAATAATCTTGTGCTACTGTTTCCCTGTGTTGCACCTTTTCTCGTAAGGAAGAATGAAAGCGAAATCCAGAAAGCAGCGAAACTGATCCATGTTAAACACATCTGCTGTTGTTCGTCTATTTTTGCAGTTGCTTTTCCTGTTGTAGGTGGAAGATTGGTGACTAGTGGCTTTTGAAAGGGCTCCGGTGCGAAACCCCAGATTTCGATGAACAACAGCAAAAACTGAACATGATTCATTCGTCGCGCAATCCCAGGTTTTCCTTGTTTTCCTGTTGTTCCCCATGTGTTGTCACATTCATCTTTAAATCGGGAGAGATGAGAGCAACATAGGAGTCAAACAGGATTTCGGTGCGAAACCTTGGGTTTCGATGCAAAACCGAAATGCAACCAACATAATTCATTCTCGCCGAAATAGAACCTTTGTTCCTATGTTTCTCATGTGGATTCCCTTAACTCAGATTCTCCCAACTGCTTAAATCAATACAGTTTTTCCTCTGAAACCCCTTATTTCCAACCACCTGTTCTCAGGCCTATCGACATGTCAGGAGGCTATCGGGCACTCCAAAATCCATGTGGCTACTGCGGATGACCCTCTCAGGCGATGCTTAAAGACTTCCTGCTGGCTGGTGTCCAATGCTGCGTGAAGAAACAAGAGAAAAATACTCTCTAGTCTCTAGTCAACTCTTATACACTGCATGCGGTGCGGCATGACCAACACATGCCTGTGTCCTGGTTTTCAGGTGTCACATCGTATATTGCCTGTCTGCAGGACCGGAACTACGGGAGCATTTATGAGTAACGCTCAGCTTTTGCCCGGCCAGATGTCCTGCACTCCTCCACATGCCCCGGCACAGACATATGAGAAGCTCACACAAAGGAGTCACAAAGGAAACATGTGCGCGACCAATGTCATTGATCACATGTGTCACACAAAGCCATGAGTGGCATTGAATAATTAGTCGGGGTGTCAAGCAATTCAACTGAATCCTGCTTGGAACTTGAGGCTGTTGTGCAAACCACTCCAGGAATACTTGCAAACCTCTGTAACGGTCTCCTTGCTCCAAGGCTCACTCGAGACAGTTTCGGATCGAAGTCCTTTTTCGGAGGCCAGAGCACTGGGCACTGTTCCACCTTCGCTCAGCCGCCCCATGACTGTGGCCAAACACTGGCACACTTGCAAGCCGATGAGTTTACTAACTAACGCCCTTTCTATTGCAAGTCGCCGTGTCTGCACGGCCCATTCCAAACTCAGGTGAAATACCTGAGCGTGGCTGCAGACCGTTTCGACTCATTCTCACCGCCGATTCACAACAGAACTGATTTGCTCCGCTCATAGACTGCATTCCAACGACAGCTCAGCCATGGTACGTTTAGAAGACCCCAGAAGAACAATGCAGGCCAGTTCTGAGCGCTGACATCATGCCAATAGGCAGAGAAGAGGAACACCACCCACACACTGAAGAAGCGGTTTTTCCTAAGCGGATGATTTGGCTTCTGGTCTGCTTGGCTGCCATCCATGCATGTGGCCAAAGTTATAGATTAGTCTTATGCATACAAGATGTCTTACATAGCCGCCAAGGATCCTGCCACCAAGGGGAATATAAATATGATGCACGACCCATCGGTTGAAAGAACAATGCCACCCTTGCCAAAATCCAGTCAATGTGCGATGCGTGTTGATACCTTTCAAGGCCGGCTAAAACGAATTTGAGGCGTGTATGTACAAGACCCAGCTCGGCGATTGAGTCAAAGAAACGTGCGTTGAGGGTGATTTCTTCAAAGTTGCAACGAGGTATGTTCTCCGGAGCCTGTATGCCATCGAACAGTGCCCACAGTCGAAAGAAGCGCCACATCACTGCGAACTTCAGCCACAGCCCATTAACCGCTGCATAGAGCAAGCCTGGACAAGGGTGAGCACAAGGGCGGCACGTGTGCACACCTCGCATATGCATTTTCGAACTGTAATGGTATCAAACCTCGAAACACAGTCTCCACCGACAAAGCTGGATTCTGCAGGGGGCGGGGGTGGGGGTGTGTGGAGTTGCTGCTGCTGTCGCTGTTCCCATTCTCGTTCCTGTCCCTGTTGCTACTGTTATTGCCGTTGTCGTGCTGCATCTTCGGCTGCTGTGTGATGGATCCCGCATTGCTTATCGCTTCTGAGCTCGAAAACACTGCGGGCAAAGGAAAAAAGGTGGTGGGGGTAGATTAGGCCGTTTCCCCAAAATTGAACAAAGTGCATGCCCCACATGTGATAACTAACGTTCACCATCGTCCACACTCCGACGCCATCTGTTCCCAAGAGCACCCATGGCGTCGAATGGAAGGACATCCTTTTCTACGACACTATTCCAGAATCCTGGGTGCTACGAATATAAGCCCCCAAACCCTAGAACATCCTAAAACCCGAAATACTCTCACCCTTCAGCTCCGGCCAAAAACGCCTGTCGTGTCTAGACGAGTCCAAACATGACTGCCCTAGGCTTGTCTCGCTGCCAAAAGCTGGACAAGTCTTCAAAGTCTGACGATTGATAGCTCTGCAGGTTTGGTGCCGAGGAGCTTGCGAACGAGCGAGTGCGAAATGGATCTAGCATCCGTGTCTGCAGTATGGCAAAGAAGGGCACCAATGTGAGAAGGAACTCCTGAAGCTATGTTGATACAACAATTATTGAAATTTCGGACAACTTTCTATCCGATTGACCAGGCAGCCAGCGAGTTCCTGAAGGAGGAGAAGACAGAGGATTCGCAGGCCATAAAAGATGCAAAGCTTGAAGCTGGGAGGGCTTGACGTTATAAAATTGTCCAAGCTCCTCAGCTTGATATGTCTGTGTCAGACTGAAATGTTCTGCGACCACACGAAGCTGCCAGTAAGCGTCCTGGTACATGAGTCTCAAAGCACGTATCTACTTCTGCAGACTGCGTTGCATGATTGGTCCAGCCAGCCAGAGCGCAGGGTGAAAGAAATAGTCAAACACTTGCCTGGTGCAGAGCGTGCCACAAGAAGTCGGGACCTACTGAAGCACAAGTGACCCAGGAACTCCAAAATCTTTGTCCGAGCTGCCAGAGCGTGTGTTCAGGTTTCGCTTCTGCAGCAACGCTTATGAGCCGCAGGGCTGCATATTTGGCCACGAGGCGCCAGTCGTGCAAGCCGGCCAAGCCAGGAGTCGAAATTTCTGCCCATCTGACGTCCTTCCCAACACAGCCCATGCAGATTTCCTACTTCCCGTTGCCTCCTTCGCAAAACGATCGGACCGTCAGTCGCATTGATTCGGCATGCCTTCTAAAAGTTGAGGCCACCTCCCATCCCTGTCCTTCACATACAGGAGGCAAAGCGCAAGCGACCAGCCTGAGAGACTCAGCCCCTCTCCTTGTTTGCCAGTGGCTCTGGTTGAAATTCTTTCCATGCAGTTTCCCCTGCCGAGGGCCCAGGTGCATTTTCAGTTGACGGAGATGCTGAGATCCTCGCCAGCACCCATTGCAGCGGTTCGAAATCTGCGGAGGTAGAACACAACAAAGAAGCTTCCAAGGAAAATCGCGGCACCTCACACGCGCTGGTGAATTCAAGTTCCAAAGATCACATCACGAGTGGGACACCAATTCGACACAGTGCTGAGTCATGGAACCGAGGCCATGCAGCACCAAGCAGTACAGCAAAGCTACCACCGGCTTCAGTCGAGGACAGGCTCTGCGCAGAAGAGTTGTGCTGACTGCTACGGCCGCCAAGATTGGCAACTTCTCCCGAAAGGCCCTCCACTGAGGATCTGAGAGATCCATACTTCCAAGCCATGATGGGCGCAGCTCTCGTCTGCAACGAGCGTGCTGGGAGCAAAGCTGACCACTCTGCAACCATGTTGGAACTACTGCCACGCTGAATACAATAAGAAAGAAAGCTGTCCAAATGATAGCACGTTGTTCGGCATTCCGCCAGTGCAGGCACGGTCGTTCAACACCTTTCTTGTCTTTTCGCTCAGCATCGCCCTCCAGGGTCCATCCGTAAACAATCCACGTATTTATGGGGATCGTCACCAGGTGCCAGAGGCAATGAGAATCGACCAAACCGTAGAGAGGGCCGGGCATATCGAAAGGAGGAAGATCGACAAGCTCCAGAACACAGAAAAGGAGCAAGAATGCCTGGCAAGACAACTTCAGGCAGAAGGCATTCGACGTCAAGCTAAATTTTCACCACTTACAACTGTGGGGTTGGTTGGCTCACATCACAAAGCCGCAGCCATTTGCAGATAACTGGAGCTGAAAGTACACAAGCAGACCGGCAAGCGATATAACATCTAATCAGAAAGGGTATGTATCATCATGACCCCAAAACATGAATAACTAAGTATATCCACTAGCAGATACGACTGAATAATAGTCCGTGCCACTGTCAGCGTGTGCAATAGCAGGCAATCGTAACAAAAGCTACATGTGTTTCAGTGTGCTGGTACACGAGCGAATAAACTGATACGTGCTACTACAAACTGATATGCAGTACCAGCACATTGTGTCACCATGCAATGCACGCTAGGTGTTGGATAACCAAATACCGCAACACAATCGGTAAGTATATCGTAGCATAATGTAGACTAAATGATGCATAGCAGTATGTGGTAGAGATACAACCAATCATTATCAACCAACTACAGGCTGACGTCGCCACCAAGCTGAGAAAGGACAACAAACGATGTAAACCTCAAAAACGCTGGACAAACCGACTCGCCAAAAACGTAGGATGCTAGCTTCGCTCATGACAGGTTGCCCACGGCATCGCAATGTGCTGTGTCAGAGGGTTGTGCCGTTCCCGGACACCATACCAAATCCACAGGGCAGCAGTCATGCCAAGCACACCCTGTGAAATGAGTTGCTGAACACGCCATGGAAAGCTCAGAATAGGCATACCTACAGAATAGGCACCGAAGAGGAGCGCACCGCCAGAAAGGGCCAGGTTGCAAGCTCTGCCATTTCTGCAATCTGCAACTCGCAGCAAAACGGTGAAAAACTCCACTAGGCAAGTCAGGATCACTCCTAAGTAATCCAGGTGTTCAAAGAAAGCTGTGGGACGGGCGTGAAACAGAGCAGACAGCATCCAGGTGATGATGTGGAAGGCCGCACTCACCTTCAAGACTGATCCCAGCCAATGATCAGAATACGTGCCTCTAGCGGCATAGTAGAGATACGGCAGGCCATTCAGCAGAGAAAACAACACGGAGAGGAACTCTTCCATGTAGCAAAAACGGTAGAATGCCCAACGTCCCCGACTGTATTTGACCTGTGGCTCTTGAAGACTGGCACGAGCTTCGCTGTCTGCAACCTCGCACCAGTGAGCACACTCCTCGCTGCATGTCCATTCAAACAGCCCGACCAGTAGCTCTTCTTCTGCACGCTCTGTGCAGCCTGCTTCACACTGCGTTACACATGTCCGGTATCTTGGGAGACGATGGCCTCCATGTTGATGAGGGTTGTCCAAGTAGAACAAAGCAAATAGCAGCCACGAGAAAGTCAGGAGAAGCCAGGTGCCAAATAAGACGAGTCGATGCATCCAAAGTGCCTATAACCGTCCCTACTGCTTTCGAGAAACCACGGCTAAAGACAGCATGCTGCATCAGCAACACCTCCTGCCATCCCGTAATCCCTGAGACCTCGGCACCCCTGGTTTCTTAGGCTTTTGTAGTGTAGTCTTGATTGCAAATTCATGGCAATGGGCCCGTTCACAGTGTCTCTCCGGTTCTTACTTAGTCCAACACCTTCCCGAGTGCTTCGAAAAACCCATCGCGATCTGCAGCGTCCTGTATGATACGATTGCTTCTTGAAATGGTCTCATCCCCACATGCAACGTCTGCAGCTTCGTTCTTCTGGATAGGAATAGCCAGATAGCAGCACGGGGGTTAAGAAAAACACGAGAGCCCCTTCCACAGCAGACCGCTTTTGCAATCCTGAGCCCTGGCTCGGAGGGCGAACGTCCGCATTATGCGGAAGGCTTGCGCATGGCAAGCTTTCAGCGGAAGGCGCTGGTTGAGGGAAGACGCTAGGCGTTGGCCAACATTCGGGGACTTCAGCACAAGAAGCTGCAAAACAAGACCGTGATCCTTGCTTACCCAAACTACGCAAATCTCATGCAAAAACCTTGACGGCGCTGCCGTCCCAAACTCTCAGCCTTAGACAGCTTGTCCGCCCGATCCTGAGACCCAGCCGGAACGTCAGGGCAGCTACAACCTCCTACCGCTGTACAAGACAATCCGGAAGTCTGTTTTGCGTAAGACCCCTTTCAATAGGTTGCGGGCCACAAGAGAGAATCAAGACAATGTTCAAATTTTCATGGCTGTCTGAAGCTGGGCCGACACTCAAACGCAATCGGACACACCCAGAGTCCGGTGTTTGCATACAAGTAGCTCGACTACACTGACTTGTTGGATACCGTTAAACTCGTGAGCTCAACTCCAGACTACTATGGGCCTGAAGAAAATCTTCTTCTCCGTTGCTAGTGTGCTTGCTGCAATCAGTCCCAGTTCTCGCTACTGATGAGATGCTTCACCTGACCTTATCTCGTTCATGCCTTCAGCCGTACAGTGGATGCTTGCGCGTGTGGAATACCAAGCCCTATCACTTGTTCGCGCCGCCGTCTTGTTCGCATGCACACGAGCCCCCACACTCTGATCTCGCTAGCTCTGCATATCTTCCGCCGGTTCAGAAGCTGTCTGCTGGCTTCAACACCTCGGATGATACAGCACATAAACGGGTTGCGCGCCCCTCCCCCCGTCCCCCCCTCACTGGCATGTCATCCCCCCTCCCAATGGTATCCACCCCATTTGGTCATCCCCCCTTGTAGAACGGGCTTGGGCCTTGAGCTTGCGAGGGGAATGCTCTCTGCCAGTGGTTGTGGACGTGATCATCCCCCCTCCCCTCTGTCGAACGCCTGTCTCGAGCTGCCCCTTTCTATGGAACAGGGCCCTCCGCACGGGCGCCGAGGATTCCAAACCTGTGTGCTTGGGGAGGGATATATCATTGGGCGGGCGGGAGGGGGGGAGGGCAGAACGCACGGCACACCTTTTATTCATGAACCACACCGACCACAGGACCGCTAATTATCAACCCCCACGCCGGGCTTGATGCTTTATCCTGCAGGTAGCATGTTCACTGCTGCAACCAAACGCCGATGCCGCGAATAGTGGTCATGCACAGCACAGGCGCATGATATCGGAGAGACTCTTTTTCTTGCAGTGAATTGGCAGATCACCTGCCGAATACCGGAGCAGTCCAGGGCATCCGTGCTGGAGGCTGACTTTGCTTCGCCTGCAGCTCTGGCTGTCTTCTCTGATTGATTTTGCCAGTTTCGATTGACTTATGAAGCCTATGATGCTTAACAGAACATGCATAGTAGGTCCATGTGCGGGGTGCTCTCGAAAAGACATCCTTGTTTCCAGCAGAAGCGATGATGGCAAGGCGTGCGCTCATGATGTGATGTACCATCCAGCCGCATGGATGTGCCGGCAAACAATCAACAAGCTCTTGAAGGGAGTCTGAAGCAAGACAGCCCGGTTCTCTGCAAAGGTCTTCTGCCTAAACGTGATTGCTGCAAACTGTCTTTTCAGCCGCACGACTGCACACAAGAACAACCTTGTTCGAAAATTGCGAGATGCTCTAGCCGCTTTGTAAGGGTCTCTTCTTGTGGAACTGTTGATGAAACTGTAGCGGGAGGTTTTGCACAAGAAAGCCGCCCGCTTTTCGTAGCTAAATTGACGAACAAAAGAAACTGGAGTTTCTCTGAGTCCACCAAATGCGAGGCCAAGCAAGGCTTTTGCTGCCGTCTTTCTGTTGTCTGGATTGACAAAAGAGACGTGTGTGTTCGGGAGCTTTCTCCATCCAACCAGCCTTGAAGTTCACTGACAGACGTCCAGTAAGCAACGTCTTGAGCGAACACACATAACAACTGCATCATCTTCGCAGTTCAACGAGTTGGGATAACTGTAACCTGACGGAACTTCAACAACATGAGCTGCATGTAGTCATGTGGACTGTTCAACGGATGCACCTTTTTGGTCCTTGTGCAGCCAACACCATCCAAGATGCATGTATGACAGAAACCGGAAGCTCGGTGCCTGTGGTGACGTCACGTGGTCATACAGCAGGGCACAGGCGGGGAGGCCAGGTTGACATACTTGCCTCTTGCCTGCTTACCTCCTTCCCTACCTGCTTGACCATCTCGCACGAATACGACTCTGGACGATCGAATGATGGCCACGGGCATGATCTTGCTGCCATTGCTAATATCAAGAGCTTTCAGCATGCAAGTATCTTCCAGGAGGCAACCATGCGGCTACATACGGTGCAGCGGGATGATCTATCAATCATGAACTATCTCGCTGACTTCCTCGAGAAGCTCCTCAACAAAAAGCCGGCCTGCGATGAGGGCGCGAGGGTGCCGTACCCTGGGACGTTGAAGCCTCAACTGTTGTTTCGTGCTCCGCCCACGTACGATAAGAAGCAAGCCAGCGAAGCTGTCGCTCGATGAGGCTCGGCACTGATAGGTGCATTGTTCGGGTTGCTCCTGGAAGGCATGCTCGTGCCACCGAAAAGATTCGGCGGTGTCAAACCTGCCCAGGCAGGTCTGCGCAAGTCAGGGTATCCTCTTACCTGTCTCGTTTCGGAGATGTGGCTGCTCGCAGAGAATGAAAGCACCACTGAACTCTGCAAATCTGCACCACCATTGATAGCTTCAGAAGCATGCGTGATGGTTTGGTCACACGCTTTTGGCGCTGGTTACTGCGGGATCTGTCCACTGCTCCGTTTTTGAGGCCACCACCAGCACATGATCCTCACCATTCCCATCTCTGCTATTCAGTACTGGTCGGTCCCTGAGATGCAGTCATTTGTAACTCGTCTGGACGGCCCAGGCTTAAGGAGCCCCTGGGACCATGGAATCATACTGTGATCGGATAATTAGTTTTAAGGGAGGGGAGGCCACGCACCTCTTTTATGGATTTCCCTGCATGCGTAATGCTGGTAGCAGGGGCATCTCAGAAGCATAGCGATGCACTGAGAGCATGGTCGCAGGCAGGAGGAACTGACAAAGAAATGGAGAGCCACGTGGCATACATGCCATCGCGGCATTGCCTGTTGCAATAATCTTCTCGTGAAAGCTCCGTCACGTCCCAAGCTTCCTCAACAACACTGGCTTGCGAAGCACAGGCTGGCCTTTGACCAGGCCGAGCTGATCAAGCCTCGCATCGCCCGAAAAGACACGCATCCAGCAAGGCTTTTAGCAAGGCATCTCCAAGGCAAGGGCGGAGCTGCCAGGGGTTGCCCAGGATATGCTGAGCGGTGTGGAGATTGAGGAGATGGCCAGCCAGCCACATCAGCGTGTCGTTCTGGTAGATGGCGAGGGGACGAACTGCAAGTGAGGCAGGCATTTCAAGCTACCGCTCAGCTGGCAGATCTTTCCACTCCTCTGCAAGGGTGGCGGTGGTGGTGGCAGATGTCGTTCATTCTTCCACGAGGCAGCCTGACACATGTCTGCACGTGCCTGAATCTCAAGTCGGAGATGAAGTGAGGCCAAGGCCGAAAGATGGCTCACGAAACTCCCAGCACTGGCATGGCCGGTCGGTTCTATCCTTGAACGGAGTGGTTGTGGGCTCTTCTCGACACCCCGGAACTTAAGCTGCTGCTTCTGCTTCTACCAGATTCCAGTATACTTATAACTGCTCGTCCACCGAGTTGCGAAGTAGCCTGATGGTACCCTGCATCGAGGCGATGCTGGGGAGCATAGCTGGTTCCATGAACCTCAGTGCTTTCGCCGAAAATAGCTGTGTCTACATGTCGACCGCTGGCAGTAAAGATATCATTGGCAATCAGCGAAATCAATACAACAACCAACCTTGCCGAGTTCGGGAATAGGGTCTGGCACAGCTACAAAGAGGGTTGTAAACGAAACAAATGAGCGCAATCTCGTTGTGGCATGGCATTGAAGCCGACTCATCATGCCGTCCGCACTCCCATGTTCTTGCTGGATATACTGAAGAAGTCAGCAGGCGACGTGTCTCCGAGCCGGGCACTCTGAAGGATCCTTCGCGACCCTCGACCTGAGCTTGGAGCACACGACTCAAAGCTGAACGATGCAGGGGGGAAGGGGATCCGCTGACCTTGGCCCCCACCTCCCGCCCTCCCCCGGGCTTGCACACCACACGCCCTTGGCCGACCAGCCAACAACAAAAGACTAAAACAACAGAAACGGCCACCACAACGACGTCTGCAAAGATCCAAACCGCACAAAACAAACACCTCACCTGCCACCAAAAGCCCCGCCGCTCCAAGCCGCCATCACAGATTGCGCTCAAAAGTCAGGTGATGTGTTTCTTTATTGACCCCTGGGGTCGGGCGGCTTGAGCCGGAGGCTCTTGATTAGTGTGGCTGTGAAGCCTTTGCAAAAGTTGTGCTGGTGCATGCCAGCAGAGAAGGCTGCGCGAGGTTTCGGAATGACACGAGACCGGCACGTTGTGGTGCACGAGCTCCGATGCACATCTTTGGGGCGCTCTAGCCTCAAAA